CAGAAATACATGGTCATCTTCATTGTACACCTGAGCCAACAGAATCATCAACTGAGGGATTTACTCAAGGGTGGATTTGCTTATCTGTCAGTGGAACTCAGCATTAAGAAATACAAGATAAGATTTGTTTCTCTTATTCCTGAATCTACTCGTTAAGCTGTAAAAACTCTGAATTGATTTACTTTGTCTGAACCACAATACTTTGGTGACTTAGCAGGTGGCATTTGCCTTCCTTTGGAATCAGTAATACCTAATGTTTTAGTGATAGGAAAGATACTTCAGATTCTCTTAGTCAATCAGAAAAATATGTACAAAACTACTTTTATTTGATCCAGTCATTAAGAAAAAAAGTAGGCATTGTGGGAGATACTGGACACAGCGTAGTGAGTGAAGGTGATAGTCTTATGTAAAGAACCAGATTCAAGCCCGTTTCTAATTCTGTCCTTCTCTTTTACGACTTATTACTGTTTAACCTATGTGACATTCCTCAGTGCTGCCAGCCAGCTTATTAAAAAAATACAGCTGATTCCAAATGATTGCTTTTCTTCCACTTCTATTTTCTTCCCTGGGCACATTTATGTTTTAGATTTCTGCCTAAACACAAAAATAAGAAGGAGACTATCTTCGTTGCTCCAAGTGAAAATGGAGAATCTATTTTAAACAAGTGTATTTAGTTTCTTGAGAGTATATTTTATCTCTTACTGCTCATTTATTGCTGCATCACATATTATACCAAAGCGTAGGGGCTTGAAACAGCCATTTAATCTCTCATAGTTTGGGTGCTTAATGGACCGGGTAGTTCTCTCTTTGGTCCTCATATACTTGCAAGATGGCAGCTGAGGTTGGAGTCATCTGAAGGCTTCTTGACTCACAGGCCCAGTGCCCAGGCTGGATGTCTGCAGGAGCTGGGACTGAGGACTCTCCACATGACCTTACCACGTGGCTCGCATGGGCTTCTTCACAGCTGGGGCCGGGATGACTCCTGAGAGGCCACGTTCTGTTGGAAAGGGGCAGTTGCCACTCAGCTCTGTTTCTTTCCACATGAAAATATACTCAGTATGATTTCATTTTCTGATTTTCAAAGAGAGGTTGAAATTTAAAGTTCTTATGTGAAATCTGGTGATTTAAAAATACTGGTACCTGATTGACATTTTTAAAATATATTTTTATTGATTTCAGAGATGAAGGGAGAGAGAGAGAGAGAGAGAGAGAGAGAGAGAGAGAGAGAGAGAGAGAGAGAGAGAGAGAGAGAGAGAGAGAGAGAGAGAGAGAGAGAGAGAGAGAGAATGAATCATCAATGATGAGAGAGAATCATTGATTGGCTGCCTCCTGCTGGAGATCAAGTCTGCAACCAACCCCAGCATGTGCCCTGACTCAAACTGAACCACAACCTCCTGGTTCATAGTTTGATGCTCAATCACTGAGCCATGCCAGCCGGCCTGATTGACATTTTAAAAATAACACTGTGCTGGCCAGAGAGCACTTGTCTGTGTGTTCCCAATGGTAGGCCTGCGGCATGAGGAGTAGACAGTGTGGCAGTAACAGAGGAAGTATATGAAGAAGGTGTGCTCCTCTTCTTTCCTTTCATAAGATAGAAATGAAAATTTGAAGTTAGAGCAGTGATGTCAGTAGGAGACTTTTTATAAAATTTGACTGTATTCAAATGGGATAGGTACTCTTCATCCAAAACATAAACTTCAAGGAAATAGGTAGAAAAAAAAGGAGATGTGATTTTGAGAGTAGCAAGAACAAAATCACCTTGTCTTTCAGAATATAGAGATTTTTTTGTGCAGATTTAAAAAATATTTTTCAATTACAGTTTACATTCAGGTTATTTTGTATTAGTTTCAGGTGTACAGTATAGTGGTTAGGCAATTGTATACTTTACAAAGTGGTTCCCCAATATTTCAAGTACCCACCTGACACTGTACATAGTTATTATGAGATTATTGACTATCTTCCCTTATGCTGCACTATCTCTGTGACTATTTTGAAATTACCAATCTGTAGTTTTTAATCCCTTTACCCTTTTCACCCAGTTCCCCAGCCATGCTCCCCTCTGGCAATTAGCAGTCTGATATCTCTGAGTCTGTTTCTCTTTTGCTTGTTTGTTTTTTGTGCAGATATTGTTTCAACACTTTTATATTCAGGAATGTTCTTATTGACATCCTTTGTGTCGTTTATTGCCTTAAATTTTAAAAAAATCATTTAGTTTTTTTAAAAAAATTACAGTTTAAACTATGTAATTACATTGGTTTTCAGTGTACAGCCCAGTGATTAGACATTGCATAACTTACTAAGTTATCATCCCGATAAATTTTGTACCCACCTAAGACCATACATAGTTATTAGAATATTATTGACCATATTCCCTATGCTTATTGTTTTTTAAAAAAATCAACTGAATTGAAATCTTTAGCTTTAGAACACTGTATCTGAGATGTGACATCTGTTAGTCTATTGTCCACCCCTCCTAGGTGAGTTAAGTTCTATATGAGTGAGTTCTTGGGAAAATAAAGGATTCTGTTGTATAACATGAAATGAATATTTTCCTCTGTGATAAATTACACAGGAAAAGCCTTGCCGGTGGTGTAAGCTGTTTTCTGGGTTCTGAAGACTTTAGGAGAAACATAAATACTTTCCATGGTCAGGATGTTACAAATGACCATTTGCTGGGTGTTACTCCTGGAAGTTGACTTCATTCAAAGTATCTAATTAGCAAAAGAACTACAATTTGACACTTCTGGAAGTCACAGTGGGTGGCAAAAACACTGAAAAAGTGGGCTAGAAAATTAATGATTGTTAATATATACTTGTTGAACTGAATAGTCTGTTATTAATTTCTCTTGGTTGAACTACTGCTATTAGTAAGTGAATACACAGATCTAAGCACTGGGTGTATAAACCTAAAACATCTGTGTAAATAGAAATTAAGTAGTACATGCACATATATACCCAACTCAATGGTTATATAGTGATTTTACATATCCTAATATTTTAATATGAAAAAAGTTACATGTACTAATCATATTAGGTTTTCTTATAATGATAGATGATTATATATATACTAGAGGCCTGGTGCACAAGAATTTGTGCACTTGGGGGGGAAGGAGGGGGTCCCTCAGCCCAGCCTGTGCCCTCTCCCAGTCTGGGACCCCTCAGGGGATGACCACCTGCTGGCTTAGGCCTGCTCCCCAGGGGGATTGGGCCTAAGATGGCAATCAGACATCCCTCTGGCAGCCCCAGAGTCCTCAAGGGATGTCCAGTTGCCAATGGGGAGCAGGCCTAGCTGCAGTTGGACATCCTTAGTGCTGCTGAGGAGGCGGGAGAGGCTCCCACCACCACTGCTATACTGGCAGCCATTAGCCTGGCTTGTGG